CAGTCAGGGAGAGGTAGAAAATATCAGTGAAGACACTTGCTAGTTGGTCCGCGCATGCTCTGAGTACATGTCCTGGTAATCCTTCTGACCTCTTGGCCTTGTGAATGTTGACCTGTTTAATGGTCTTGCTCACGTCGGCTACGAAGAGTGTGATCACACAGTCGTCCAGAACAGCTGGTGCTCTCATGCATGCTTCAGTGTTGCTTGCCTCGAAGCGAGCATAAAATACATTTAGCTCGTCTGGTAGGCTCGCGTCACTGGGCAGCTCACGGCTGGGTTTCCCTTTGTAGTCCGTAATAGTTTGCAAGCCCTGCCACATCCGACGAGCATCAGAGCCGGTGTAGTAGGATTCAATATTAGTCCTGTATTGACTCTTTGCCTGTTTGATGGTTTGTCTGAGGGCATAGCGGGATCTCTTATAACCGTCCGGATTAGTGTCCCGCTCCTTGAAAGTGGCAGCACCATTTGGTGTGACGCAGACCCATGGAGAGTGTGGTGAAACAGAGAACACACTGACTGTCCTGCTGAGTCTTTACCGAACGAAGTCAAGTTAGGTCTCCGCCTTATCTTAGCTCATTGGTCACCATAGCAACACCCACCCGTAGTATGCGCTCCAGCAGGTATATCTCACTGGTCATCCCCAAAGCCAACACCTCCTTTGGCCGCCATTCCTTCCAGTTCTCTGCTGCCAATGACTGGAACGAACTGCAAAAATCTCTGAAGCTGGAAACTCTTATCTCCCTCACTAACTTTAAGCATCAGTTGTCAGCACACCTTACCGATCACTGCACACAGCCCTTCTGAAATTAGCCCACACAACTACCTCATATTGTTATTTATTTTGCTCATTTGCACCCCAGTATCTCTATTTGCACATCATTTTAGTCATTTAGCAGACACTCTTATCCAGAGAGCGACTTACATAAGCAATTAGGGTTAAGTGCCTTGCTTAAGGGCACATCGACAGAATTTTCACCTAGTCGGTTCAGGGATTAGAACCAACGACCATTCGGTTACTGGCACAACGCTCTTACCCACTAAGCTACCTGCCGCCCTCTTGCACAACTATCATTCCAGTGTTAATACTAATTGTAATTATTTTGCACTAATACCTACATGTCCACAGAGGAGAGAAATCCTACAGCTTCCCCAGTGTGAGAAGAGGTTCTCCCACCACCACCAGCTGAAGATTCATCTGAAGGTCCACACAGGAGAGCGGCTGTTCGCCTGTATGCACTGCAGGAAGAGGTTCTCAGAGAGGAGCTACCTCAGGATACACCAGCAGAAAATGCACACGGCCCATGTATGGTGTATAGCCCTCAAACTCAACCTCGAAGCCAGTTCCACTGTGTTTTTTAATTGTTCCCCTCTAATCAGGCACTGATTTAGACCTGGGAGACCCTATTACCGCCACACCGGCGGTCACGAGTCATGACAGCAGTCAAATTCCATGTTACCATTTAGTCACGATAATTAGGCTTCTCCAAGTTCTGATACTGCTGATGGTCATTAGTAGCCTACTAAACTTGCTAACTGCCTGGTACTCAGCACTCTATTGTCCCTCTAATCACTCTGACAGCAATGCAAATGCAATCGAAAATCGAATCAAACACTTCATGAGCTCATGTTGTGCAACATTTCTATAGGTTATGCAATTGCATGAGAAAACCGAGTGAATAGCCTCTATTAAAAAGAGGATCCCATCAGCTTTCTATAGGCTAGGCCTACTATATTTATTTCTCAACTTTCCTAATATTAAGCACATTGCTTTTCTTTACAACAGGAGTATAGCCTACCTGGCTGGCATGAAAATGAACCACAGGAAAAACGTCCACCATTAGCTCTTTATGTCCCTGTTTCGATAATGGTCCATTCTAAATCAAAACTTATTTCACACATATATTATTTAGCATATGTAAAGACGAGATTAAATCAAGAATAGTCTGATGGGTGACAGTATTAGTGGTCCTCTGTAGCTCAGCTGGTAGAGCGCGGCGCTTGTAACGCCAAGGTAGTGGGTTCGATCCCCGGGACCACCCATACACACAAAAAAATGTATGCACGCATGACTGTAAGTCGCTTTGGATAAAAGCGTCTGCTAAATGGCATATTATTATTATTATTATTATTATTATTATTATTGCCTTACCTCCATAATTTGCTACATTTGCACACACTGTATATATATTTTCTGTGGTATTTCTGACTTTATGTTTTGTTTTACCCCATATGTAACTCTGTGTTGTTGTTTTTATCGCACAGCTTTGCTTTATCTTGGCCAGGTCGCAGTTGTAAATGAGAACTTGTTCTCAACTGGCTTACCTGGTTAAATAAAGGTTAAATAAATAAAAAAATAAAAAAAGCTTGTGTCAGTTATCCCGTGAGAGCTTTTGTCAGTGGAAAAAGCTGTGTGTTAACTGTAGGGGTACCTATGTTGCTGGAGATCAGAAGTGTCCGGTGAAATAAAGGCAGGTCAAGGTTGTCATGATCAGAGTAGTGCAGAAGGTGGTGTATGCTGAGGCAGTGGAGAGAGTAGTAGAGGAAGATGGGTCCATCAGAGTAATGCAGAAGGTGGTGTATGCTGAGGCAGTGGAGAGAGTAGTAGAGGAAGATGGGTCCAGAGTGAGGGATCCTAAGATTAGGCCGAGGTCAATAGAGAGTGATAGGAATTACATGTGCTTCAGTAAGGTTGGCTTCTTAGCGTTCATAGCTATGGTTATCAACTGTACCGCAGGAATGGAACGTAAATCACAGAAAATAGATGTTATGGTGGCAGCTGCAGAGAATTACTTGGGTGTATGTGTACAAGATTTTACTGCAGAAGAGTTACAAGGTGTGTTGAACGATAGTGTCCCGTCCTCCCAGGGTGCCAGCCTGGTGTAGGATCAGATAGGGCCAAAGTAGTGGAATAGTGGTGAGGTTTTAATGGGTGTAGGGTTAGTTGGTAACGCAATTGTTCTTCCCTTTCCCGTGTCTTTTTTCCCTCCCCTTTTGGTGTCACAAAGTGTAATGAATTCACACTCCAGTACAGTAGGCGGACACAGCCCACACAGTAGGTGGCGGCATGAACCTTTAAGGAATGTTTTCGGACCGCCATAATGAAGAAGAAAATAATAGAAATAATGAAAATGAAAATGAAAATGAAAATGTTGACGTAGTCGACCATCTTGCTTGGTTGTAAATAGTTACCACAGCCACAAAGTCAAAATGGTCTGTATCGTAAAAATACATCAAAACTAAAATTAGCCTTTTGGTCTTCATTTAAGGTGAGACATAATGTTAGCAGTGTGATTACGTTTAAGTTTAGGATTAGGTTTAAAATCCGATTTTAAGAAGAAACATTTGAGCAATAGGCGGGGTTTAGCCATAATTATGACTTTGTGTAACTAGTGACGACTCTCTCACTTCACCTCTTCCTCTTTGCCCTAACGTGCACAGTAAAGCAGGCCAAAATGGCTCCTACAAAAAGTGTAGGGCTCGTCAATTTGAACAACAGCCAACTAATTACTCGTATTTTTGTTATCCCTTAATTTTAATTAAATATGTTTACTTTATCAAGGGCGTAATAACCTGGGAATCCTGCTAAAATAAAGTGGCGGAATGATTTTATATTAATTGTTTCACTCGGGCAGTTGCTGAGGAGGGACACTATAGGGTACGGACTTGTTATCGTGTAACGCCCGGTGTTTGAGTTTTGGGATGGAGTTTCGTTGACTGTCTTGTCAGTCGATTTTTAATCTCTGATATCGTTCTATTTTGTTACACAGCGAAATACATCGGGAGCACAAACCCGAACATCATGGCAGAAAATATTGTAAGTATTACAACACATTGTAGTTATTGATAAAATATTGTGGATTGTTAGCCGGCTAGGTAGCTAACTTCGCTAGCTAACGTTACCGAAGTCTGATGATCGGAGTGATGAGGCAGCAGAATTAGCCACTTGCAAGCGTCACTAGAATGACAGGGCCTAGATAACTGCTAACTCACTGTTAGCAAGCTTAGCTGGTCAGAAATGTTTGAATTAAAATGTGACCAAATGTACGGTCGTTTTAATTAAAATATAATATATGTAATAGACAAGTAAATAGCATATTACGTTAACTAAGTAACGTTATCTTTGTAACGTTATTGGTTTTGAGAAATGCGTGGACGTTCACTTTGACAAAGGGGACATTGCTGTTGACTTTAAGTAGCTAGCTTGCTACCTACAGTACCTGTTAGCAAGCTAACCGGTTTTATCAACATAACCCTGGGGCTCTAATTTGTTTTGCAAGAAAGAAGCAACAGCTAGCTAACTTTTAAAAAAAAGAAGAAAGCTAGTCAGTGTTCATAGCTTGTATTCAACGTGGCTATTTGTTTTTATTTTAACTAGCTAACGTTAGTTAGCCACAAGATCGGCTAGCTAACTTTAACTAGTGTTGTTTTTCTTTGCTCATTCGAGGTAAAACAATCCAACTAACTAGCTAATGACCAGAAAACCAGTCACTGGTAATTTAGCCAGCCCATGGCATGATAGAAGCTGCTCATGTCATTTAAAATTCCTAACTAACTAGATTCGTTAACTGATCTAGCTAACGTTACTGTTAATTTACAATCACAACCACATTATTGCTTGTGAATTATGACATTTTACATTTTAGTCATTTAGCAGACGCTCTTATCCAGAGCGACTTACAGTTAGTGAGTGCATACATGTTCATACTGCCCCCCCGTGGAAAACGAACCCACAACCCTGGCGTTGCAAGCGCCATGCTCTACCAACTGAGCTACAGGGGACAGTGTCATGTCTTCAGTGGGTTGCAGTTACAAGAAATGTAACCTAGCCGGTTAATGGTTCATCGAATTAGCCGATGAGTCATGATCAATATGGTTTCCCCAATGGATGTATTTGATTTGGCAAAGCAATCTACATTTTAAGGGAAACAATATATTATGGTGTGGAGAAATGTAATGTTTTTCCTAATTTACAGATCATCAGGGTTCAGTCCCCGACCGGGATGAAGAAGATCCCTGCCACCAAGAAGGAGACAGCAGCCGCTTTCCTCAATAAGGTATTAAAGTATGGACACATGCTATGAAGACAAACATGGGCTCTCAGTGGTACTGTAGGCTATATGGTTGGGCCATATACAACAACAAACACTACTTCCCACAAACACATGGGGAAACTTGTGGTTCTTTGTCATTCTGTTGTCATATTCATAGCACATTCTGTCCAAATGTGCTATTGGCCAGCTAGCATCAGAAGATAGACATACAACTCTATCTCCCTCTTGCTCTCCCTGTGCCTAGCCTGTGCTCAACCTCAGTGTTAATTTATGTATGAAGCAGGCAGCTCTACAGGAAAGGGAGGGTATTTCTGCAGTGTTCCCCCCTTGCCTGTGCACTGTACAGTTTATGAGCTTGAGCCATCCACTGTTGATGGATCTGATGCATGGCTCAGCAGAGACATGTACGTGTAGGGAGAGCTGTGAGTTATGTGGAGAGAGAATGGTGTGCAATGCAATGCTTTTAAACAGCACGCTATAAATAGATTTACCACAGCAGCTGCTTGCTATCCTGCCAGGTAGCGATTTAAAACCCATTGGGAGTACCTAGCTACCTTCCAGTAAGGGTTGTTAGCATATCATAGAATTGTATTCCATTTCCATTTCAAACCCACCTCATCTAGCCACATTGTGTTTGGATGAAATGGATATGAATGTCTAACTGTGGCTTAGCAGCATTATAGAATAACAGTGAAATATGGGCAATGCCTTGGGCACAACTGGACCTCAGCGACTGCGAGACAGTATTGGGTAGGAAATCGATTAAATAGCTTAAGTGGGAGTCAAAATTCCACATCAGTGACTGAAAATCAGGAGTGGCCGGCTGTTTGGTCACAGTGAAGGGTTGCCTTGCCTGCGGCAGTACCCCATTAAAAATGCATGTCTTTTAGTTAAAAAAGAAATGTGTTGCAGATCAATGGAGAGTATTTTTCTTCAGATGTGCAGTCACTCAGTCAGTGATGGGGGGGATATGGAGACAGAGAGTTGCATGAAGAGCTCAGAGAGAGGCATTAATTAACCCATAAGAGTCTAAGCCGGGGGGATGGGGGGTTCTAGTTAGCTATATGGAATTGTTTAAGAAGGTCATACCAAGGATCATTTTGCTATTTGATTTAGAATTTTAAGACCCCATTGAAGGATACACATTTTTAGAAAGCTTTTTTTATGAACTATTGTTTTGGGCCTTACTGCTATTAGCGCATTCAAACACATTGAATAACATATTCACTACATGGAACAACAGATAGTCCCCACAAAAAAAATCTAAAGGAAGTTGGTTCTGAAGTGTCTGAGACATATAAGAAAGATCACCGTTGTCTGCACACAGCCATGCAATCTCCATAGACAAACATTGGCAGTAGAATGGCCTTACTGAAGAGCTCAGTTACCGTCATAGGATGCCACCTTTCCAACAAGTCAGTATGTCAAGATTTCTGCCCTGCTAGAGCTTCCCCGGTCAACTGTAAGTGCTGTTATTTTGAAGAGGAAACATTTAGGAGCAACAACAGCTCAGCCGCAAAGTAGTAGGCCAGACAAGCTCACAGAACGGGACCGCCGAGTGCTGAAGCGCGTAGCGCATAAAAATAGTCTGTCCTCGGTTGCAACACTCACAACAGAGTTCCAAACTGTCTCTGGAAGCAACGTCAGCACAATAACTGTTTGTCTGGAGCTTCATTACATTTACATCATTTAGCAGACGCTCTTATCCAGAGTGACTTACAAATTGGTGCATTCAACTTATGATAGCCAGTGGTACAACTCTGGTACAACTCTGTGGTCCTCTGTAGCTCAACTGGTAGAGCACGGCGCTTGTAACGCCAAGGTAGTGGGTTCGATCCCCGGGACCACCCATACACAAAAAAAAAAAAATGTATGCACGCATGACTGTAAGTCGCTTTGGATAAAAGCGTCTGCTAAATGGCATATTATTATTATTATAACTCCTTTTTATTTTTATTTTTTTTAATGGGGGGGGGGGATTACTTTTAAACTATTCCAGGTATTCCTTAAAGAGGTAGGGTTTCAAGTGGCTCCGGAAGGTGGTCACTGACTCCGCTGTCCTGGCATCGTGGGGGAGCTTGTTCCACCATTGTTGTGCCAGAGCAGCGAATAGCTTTGACTGGGCTGAGCGGGAACTGTGCTTCCGTAGAGGTAGGGGAGCTAGCAGGCCAGAGGTGGATGAAAGTAGTGCCCTCGTTTAGGTGTAGGGTCTGATCAGAGCCTGAAGGTAAGGAGGTGCCGTTCCCCTCACAGCTCCATAGGCAAGCACCATGGTCTTGTAGCAGATGCGAGCTTCAACTGGAAGCCAGTGGAGTGTGCGGAGGAGCGGGGTGACGTGAGAACTTGGGAAGGTCGAACACCAGACGGGCTGCAGCGTTCTTGATACGTTGTAGGGGTTTAATGGCACAGGCAGGGAGCCCAGCCAACAGCGAGTTGCAGTAATCCAGACGGGAGATGACAAGTGCCTGGATTAGGACCTGTGCCGCTTTCTGTGTCAGGTAGGGTCGTACTCTGTGAATGTTGTAGAGCATGAACCTGCAGGATCGGGTCACCGCTTTGATGTTAGCGGAGAATGACAGGGTCACGCCAAGGTTCTTTGCACTCTGGGAGGAGGACACAATGGAGTTGTCAACCGTGATGGCGAGATCATGGAGCAGGCAGTCCTTCCCCGGGAGGAAGAGCAGCTCCGTCTTGCCGAGGTTCATCTTGAGGTGGTGATCCGACATCCACACTGATATGTCTGCCAGACATGCAGAGATGCGATTCGCCACCTGGTTATCAGAAGGGGGAAAGGAGAAAATTAATTGTGTGTCGTCTGCGTAGCAATGATAGGAGAGACCATGTGAGGATATGACAGAGCCAAGTGACTTGGTGTATAGAGAGAATAGGAGAGGACCTAGAACTGAGCCCTGGGGGACACCAGTGGTGAGAGCACGTGGTGCGGAGACAGATTCTCGCCACGCCACCTGGTAGGAGCGACCTGTCAGGTAGGACGCAATCCATGAGTGAGCAGCGCCGGAGAGGCCCAATTCGGAGAGGGTTGAGAGGAGGATCTGATGGTTCACAGTATCAAAGGCAGCAGATAGGTATAGAAAGATAAGAGCAGAGGAGAGAGAGTTAGCTTTAGCAGTGCGGAGAGCCTCCGTGACACACAGAAGAGCAGTCTCAGTTGAATGACCAGTCTTGAAACCTGACTGGTTTGGATCAAGAAGGTCATTCTGAGAGAGATAGCAAGAGAGTTGGCTAGAGACGGCGCGCTCAAGAGTTTTGGAGAGAAAAGAAAGAAGGGATACTGGTCTGTAGTTGACATCGGAGGGATCGAGTGTAGGTTTTTTGAGGAGGGGTGCAACTCTCGCTCTCTTGAAGACGGAAGGGACATGGCCAGCGGTCAAGGATGAGCTGATGAGCGAGGTGAGGTAAGGGAGAAGGTCTCCGGAAATGGTCTGGAGAAGAGAGGAGGGGATAGGGTCAAGCGGGCAGGTTGTTGGGCGGCCGGCCGTCACAAGTCGCAAGATTTCATCTGGAGAGAAAGGGGAGAAAGAAGTCAAAGCATAGGGTAGGGCAGTGTGAGCAGGACCAGCGGTGTCATTTGACTTAATAAATGAGGATCGAATGTCGTCAACCTTCTTTTCAAAATGGTTGACCAAGTCATCCACAGAGAGGGAGGAGGAGGATTCAGCAGGGAGGAGAAGGTTGCAAAGAGCTTCCTAGGGTTAGAGGCAGATGCTTGAAATTTAGTGGTAGAAAGTGGCTTTAGCAGTGGAAACAGAGGAAGAGAATGTAGAGAGGAGGGAGTGAAAAGATGACAGGTCTGCAGGGAGTCTAGTTTTCCTCCATTTCTGCTCGGCTGCCTGGAGCCCTCTTCTGTGAGCTCGCAATGAGTCGTCAAGCCACTGAGCAGGAGGGGAGGACCAAGCCGGCTGGGGGGATAGGGGGACATAGAGAGTCAAAAGATGTAGAAGGAGAGGAGGGTTGAGGAGGCAGAATCAGGAGATCGGTGGGAGAAGGATTTAGCAGAGGGAAGAGATGATAGGATGGAAGAGGAGAGAGTAGCGGGAGAGAGAGAGTGAAGGTTGCGACGGCACATTACCATCTGAGTAGGGGCAGAGTGAGTAGTGTTGGAGGAGAGCGAGAGAGAAAAGGATAGAAAGTAGTGGTCGGAGACTTGGAGGGGAGTTGCAGTGAGATTAGTAGAAGAACAGCATCTAGTAAAGATGAGGTCAAGCGTATTGCCTGCCTTGTGAGTAGGGGGTGATGGTGAGAGGGTGAGGTCAAAAGAGGAAAGGAATGGAAAGAAGGAGGCAGAGAGAAATGAGTCAAAGGCAGACGTAGGGAGGTTAAAGTCACCCAGAACTGTGAGGGGTGAGCCATCCTCAGGAAAGGAACTTATCAAGGCGTCAAGCTCATTGATGAACTCTCCAAGGGAATCTGGAGGGCGATAAATGACAAGGATGTTAAGCTTGAATGGGCTAGTGACTGTGACAGCATGGAATTCAAATGAGGAGATAGACAGATGGTTCAGGGGAAAAAGAGAGAATGTCCACTTGGGAGAGATGAGGATTCCTGTGCCACCGCCGCGCTGACCAGATGCTCTCGGGTATGCGAGAACACATGGTCAGACGAGGAAAGAGCAGTAGGAGTAGCAGTGTTTTCTGTGGTAATCCATGTTTCCGTCAGCGCCAAGAAGTCGAGGGACTGGAGGGTAGCATAGGCTGAGATGAACTCTGCCTTGTTGGCCGCAGAACGGCAGTTCCAGAGGCTGCCGGAGACCTGGAACTCCACGTGGGTCGTGCGCGCAAGGACCACCAGATTAGTGCCAGCAGCCACGCGGTGTGAAGCGTTTGTATGGCCTGTGCAGAGAGGAGAGAACAGGGATAGACAGACACATAGTTGACAGGCTACAGAAAAGGCTACAATAATGCAAAGGAGATCGGAATGAAATTAACTAAACATCTGGGAAAGCGAGAGAGCGGGGCCTCACTCACTTACGTTTCACTGAAACACTCAAATATAACTCTCCCAACTTCCACTTTAGAAATTATAATTGATGTAAACAACAGCGGTTCAATGTTTTCTAGGAATAGACTCTAACTTAGTTTATTCAGCTAGCTAACTTGGTAAATGGGTTTCCATAGCTGAGCAGCCGCACACAAGCCTAAGGCCCCTTTTAGTTCCAGTGAAAGGAAATCTGAACTCTACAGCATACAATTACATTCTAGAAGATTCTGTGCTTCCAACTTTGTGGCAACAGTTTGGGGAAGGCCCTTTCCTGTTTCAGCATTACAAAGCGACGTGCGCAGGGGACACCTGCTCATCAAACATCTCATTCCAAAATCATGGGCATTATTATGGAGTTGGTCCCCTCTTTGCTGCGATAACAGCCTCCACTCTTCTGGGAAGGCTTTCCACTAGATGTTCGAACATTGCTGCGGGGACTTGCTTCCATTCAGCCACGAGCATTAGTGAGGTTGGGCACTGATGTTGGGCAATTTAAGCCATAGGTGTTCGATGGGGTTGAGGTCAGGGCTCTGTGCAGGCCAGTCAAGTTCTTCCATACCAATCTCGAAAACCATTTCTGTATAGACCTCGCTTTGTGCACGAGGCATTGTCGTGCTGAAACAGGAAAGGGCCTTTCACAAACTATTGCCACAAAGTTGGAAGCACAGAATTGTCTAGAATGTCATTGTATGCTGTAGCGTTAAGATTTCCCTTCACTGGAACTAAGGGGTCTAGCCCGAACCATGAAAAACAGCCCCAGACCATTATTCCTCCTCCACCAAGTCACTGAGCTCTTCAGTAAGGCCATTCTACTGCCAATGTTTGTCTATTGCGATTGCATGGCTGTGTGATCGATTTCATACACCTGTCAGCAACGGTGTGGCTGAAATAGCCAAACCACTCATTTGAAGGGGTGTCCACATACGTTTGTGTATATGTAGTGTACTTTACTCGAATAAAACAGTTGGATTGAAACCTGCCCAGTGACACCTTTGCTTTAACCTTCCATTTTTTAAAATTGTATACATTTTTTATTTAACCTTTTTATTTAACTAGGCAAGTCAGTTAAGAACATATTCTTATTTACGATGACGGCCAAACCCGGACGACGCTTGGCCAATTGTGTGCCACCCTATGGGACTCCCAATCACGGCCGGATTGTCATACAGACTGGAATTGAACCAGGGTCTGTAGTGACCCTGATCTCTTGGAATTATGAAATATCCTTTGTTGGTGAGATGTAGCCAACAGTACAACAGGGTTGACTTTCTTTACAACACTAAAGCATTATGGATTCGATTAAATCCAAGAGTGCTCATTTAGGCTTGCCAGAAGTGCTCATAGGGCTCTTATTAGATCTTGGACGTCTCTGCGATGATGACCGTAGACAGTCTTCCTTTCTCCTCTATCAGCCTGTTGTTTGGTAATCCATTTTGACAGTTTAATGGGTAGTGCAAGTAAGTGGCGTGAACGGTCTTTGTAACACACACAGAGTTGATAGCAGGATTAGCAAGACCCTTTTTCTTATTTCATGGGCTTTTAATAGAACATTTTGACACTTTACTTTATACTATAGTCATTATGTACCATGCTCCAGGAAGACAGCCAGGAAAGATGTGGCCGTACTTTATACTATAGTCATTATGTACCATGCTCCAGGAAGACAGCCAGGAAAGATGTGGCCGTACTTTATACTATAGTCATTATGTACCATGCTCCAGGAAGACAGCCAGGAAAGATGTGGCCGTACTCAACCCTCTAAACTAAAGCTCATCATTATCTAGTCTCTTCCCACAGCCGTGTCATGAGTCTGGCAAGCGAGACAGGACTAATCATCATTACTCTATTTCTACTGTCAGGTGGGCAAAGAGTTTGGCTTCACCTCCAACGGCTTCTCCATCTATCTGAACCGCAACAAGACCGACGAGATCCGGTCCCAGAGTAAGACCCTCAGCCTGCTGAAGATCAAGTGAGTTTGGAGCAACATTGGGTTGTTTCCATTGGACCTAAAACACACGGATCACTAGTTGTTGGGCTGCTCCATTTAGCTAGCTACACATGTTGTCATCCATATCGTCACTTCATTGTTTTACCTTGGATTGTCATTATGCTCATTTGTGTGTGTTTTTTTTTACGTGTCTAATTCTTCCCTCCCTCTAGACATGGAGACATGCTCTACCTGTACCCCTCGGGCTCCCCGGGACCAGCAGGAGAGACCATGGACGTGGCCACGCCTCACTCGTCATCATCACTTCCCTCCACCTCCCATTCCTCCTCTTCCTCCTCCTCTTCTTCCTCGTCCGTGATGTCACGCTCCCACTCGGCACCCCACATCTCAGAGGACGAGATCGACCAGTACCTGGCCAAGCAGGAGGGAAAGATCTACAGGAACAAAGATCCACAGCTGTAAGAGCTTTATATACTTCCTGTATGTTGTTGTATTGAAGCAAAGACCTACAGGAGCAGAGATCCACAGCTGTAAGAGCTTTATATACTTCCTGTATGTTGTTGTATTGAAGCAAAGACCTACAGGAGCAGAGATCCACAGCTGTAAGAGCTTTATATACTTCCTGTATGTTGTATTCAAGCAACGATCTACAGGAACAGAGATCCACAGCTGTAAGAGCTTTATATACTTCCTGTATGTTGTTGTATTGAAGCAAAGACCTACAGGAGCAGAGATCCACAGCTGTAAGAGCTTTATATACTTCCTGTATGTTGTTGTATTGAAGCAAAGACCTACAGGAGCAGAGATCCACAGCTGTAAGAGCTTTATATACTTCCTGTATGTTGTATTCAAGCAACGATCTACAGGAACAGAGATCCACAGCTGTAAGATTTATATACAGAAAGATCTACAGGAACTAGGGATGTGACGAATTGACAATTTTTCGTAATGTTTCAATTGCCATTCTTTTAATCGGTTTTCCGTTAAAACGAGAAGACAGATATTTCACCAGATGTATAAATGTGAAGCCATACTCTTGGCGTTTCCACTCACTACCAAATATGGTGGTGAGAGGAAGCCCAGTGGCCGGCAGTGGGAGAAGATGGAAGCAGATGGATTTTGGCCAACATTCTTCACATTTTCTCATCGATTTAAAAATGTGATGTCAATACAGTTTTCTGTTCCCAAAACTAGAATATGTTATGAACAGAGTGGACTAAGTTTAGCAGACTTTACCCTTTGCCAAAGTTTTTAAAAATTGCGTTGTTTAGGAGTGCTAAGGCGATTTGGCTTATAGAACGCGCAGTAGGCGTTCCCTAACGGAAATATGCAGATGCATGCTAGAACGGGCCAATAGATCTTGCTAGCTCATGCTTGGCTCTGCCCACTATGACTCATTTGTTCCCATTGGAAACGACACGCTGTGGTCTATCTTGGTTTAGTTATAAAAAAAATCTTTGCTGTAGGCATATGTCTCAACTCCCATTATAAAGGGAATAACACTGTTGAAACGGGAATAAACGGTGAACAGTGATATTAATGAGAAAGACGCACCCATTTCAGTAGCGCGAGTCGTGGCTCAAATGGTCCTTCATTTAGCAAATGACCTCGCAACTCAATTAGGCCATTGTTAATGGCTGCATATCAACTTCAATAATTTCTGTAGTCGTTAATTAACTTTTTAATTCATCTGCGATGAGGTGCAGCGTGCTTTATATCCGTGGCCCCCAAAAAATTGAAAGATACATCAATTAATCAATCAAATGTATTTATAAAGCCCTTTTTACATCAGCAGTTGTTACAAAGTGCTTGTACAGAAACCCAGTCTAAAACCCCAAAGAGCAAGCAATGCAGATGTAGAAGCATGGTGGCTATGCTGTAACATTAGTAAGAGCATTGTGGCATCTTAGTAAAGTTACAGCATTGTAGCGTTAGGTAGGGTTATTTGTTAAACGTTTTCCCTTTGTGATGATAATGATGATCGGGAGGGTTAGTGGTAGTTTCGTGATAACTGCACTGTGATCTTAATTTTGTGGAGCGATTTTTTTCTTTTCTTAACCTTAAGGATTCAATTTCGTTTAAACGTTCACACCCCTAACAGGAACATCGATCCACAGCTGTAAGATATTTATATACATAAAGATCTATAGGAACAGAGATCCACAGCTGTAAGATATTTATATACATAAAGATCTATAGGAACAGAGATCCACAGCTGTAAGAGATTTTATAGACTTTCTGTATGTTGTATTGAAGCAAAGAGCTACAGGATCAGAGATCCACAGCTGTAAGAGATTTTATAGACTTTCTGTATGTTGTATTGAAGCAAAGATCTATAGGAACAGAGATCAACAGGTGCAAGTGGGACTGTAGCTAGCTAGTTATGTAATTGTATTAAGGCATTCAATTGTATCAGTGCATTGATTCAGTTCTTGTTTCAGGTGTCGACATGGATCGATGGGAAAGTGTGTGCACTGCGTACCACTAGAGGTAAGTGTTCTTTCATTCATCCAACTATTACGGTTTGCTTTAAAATGGTGTTTTACATGTCAACTTTGCTGTGAATTTAATTGTTTTCTGTCTGCCAGCCTTTTGACGAAGAGTACCTGAGCCATCTAGAGCCACCTGTCAAGCACATGTCATTCCACGCCTACATCCGCAAGCTGACAGGAGGCGCTGACAAGTGAGTGGCACCTGACGTTCTCTAGCCTGCTTCCAGATCTTTCTGTGCCGTCTTGGCAACATCAATAGAATATACACTCTATATACCCTTCACATCTCTAGCAGGAGAATTGGCCACATCCACAAGCTCTTTGTCTTTTTATTAAAAATGTTTTTCCCTCTACAGAGGGAAGTTTGTGGCCCTGGAGAACATCAGCTGTAAGATCAAGTCGGGCTGCGAAGGCCATCCTCCCTGGCCAGAGGGGATCTGCACCAAGTGCCAGCCCAGCGCCATCACCCTCAATAGACAAGTACACCCTATAACTCTCTCCTCCTTGCTGCCAAGAGTCCATCTCAATACTACTCTTTGCTACCAAGGGTCCATCTCGGTAGTCTAAAGCAGGGTTTCCCAAACTCGGTCCTGCCCCCCCCCCCCCCCCCCTCCCCCCCTGGGTGCACGTTTAGTTTTTTTGCCCTAGTACTACACAGCTGATTTTAAAATAACCAACTTATTTGAATCCTCTGTGTAGTGCTAGGGCAAAAACCAAAACGTGCACCCGGGGGGGCCCAGGACCGAGTTTGGGAAACCCTGTTCTAGAGTGGGTTCTCCTTGGCTTCATTTAGTCATTGGTTGTCACAGAATGGGTGATAACAAGGCAATATGGTGGGTGGGTGCCTACAAGGATATTTGTTTGAACTTTTTCACCTGTCCAGTTCTGTCACGTCAGTTCAGATTAAGTCATGATGAGTGGAATCCACTGTAAACTTTTGAAATGCACTTCAAGAGATTTCTCAACCTCTACTCATTCCTAGTGGTGGAGATGCTGATTTTTATAACCCACCTCATCCCTGCCAACAGAAATACAGACATATAGACAACATCATGTTTGAGAACCACACCATCGCAGACCGTTTCCTGGACTTCTGGAGGAAGACGGGCAGCCAGAGGATGGGTTTCCTGTACGGCAGGTACACGGAGCACAAAGACATCCCTCTGGCCATCAGAGCGGAGGTCGCTGCCATCTACGAACCCCCACAGGTGAGTGCTCTGCTCTCTGGAGTCACTCCCAATGGCTTGTTAGTGAGTTGTGGCTGTAGTAAGATTGGTTAGCCACAGGATGGCAGTAGGTTCACTTTCAATGGGGGGAATGGGTATTAAACAAAGTGCTGCTGTTGCAGGACCAGTAGTTATATCACAGACTTAAGTAATCGGATCATTGTATCTACACTGAACAAAAACATGAACGCAACATGTAAAGTGTTGGTCCCATGTTTCATGAGCTGAAATAAAAGATCCCAGAAATGTTCCATACGCATAAAAAGCTTAATTCTCTAGAATTAAGTGAACAGATCTGTTTACATCCCAGTTAGTGAGCATTTCTCCTTTGCCAAGATAATCTATCCACCTGACAGGTGTGGTATATCAAGAAGCTGATTAAACGGCATGATCATTACACAGGTGCACCTTGTGCTGGGGACAATAAAAGGCCATTCAAAGAATTTGCTGTGGTCACACACAATGCCACAGATGTCTCAAGTTGTGAGTGAGTGTGCAATTGGCATGATGACTGCAGGAATGTCCACCACAGCTGTTGCCAGAGTATTGAATGTTCAATTCTACACCATCAGCCGTTTTAGAGAACGTTGTTTTAGAGAATTTGGCAGTACGTTCAACCTGCCTCATAACAGCAGACCACTTGTTTGGCGTTGTGTGGGCGAGCGGTCAACGTTGTGAACAGAGTGCCCCATGGTGGCGTTGGGGTTATGGTATGGGCAGGAATAAGCTGCGGACAACGAACATGATTGCGATTTAGCGATGGCAATTTGAATACACAAAAATGCCAAGACGAGATCCCGAGGCCCATTGTCGTGCCATTCATCTGCCGCCATCACCTCATGTTTCAGCATAATGCACTGCCCAATGTCGCAAGGATCTGTACAGAATTCCTGGAAGATAAATGTTCCAGTTCTTCCATGGCCTACGGACTCACCAGACATGTCCCCCATTAAGCATGTTTGGGATGCCCTGGGTCGACGTGTACGACAGTGTTCCAGTTCCCGCCAATATCCAGCATCTTCACACAGTCATTGAAGAGGAGTGGGACAACATTCCACAGGCCACAATCAACAGCCTGATCAACTCTATATGAAAGAGATGTCTCACTGCATGAGCCAAATGGTGGTCACACCAGATACTGATTGGTTTTCTGATCCACACGCCTACCTTTTTTTAAAGGTATTTGTGACCAACTTTTGCATATCTGTATTCCCAGTCCTGTGAAATCCATAGGTTAGGGCATAATGATTTCCTTATATGAACTGTAACTCAGTAAAATCTTTGAAATCGTTACATGTTGCGTTTTATATTTTTGTTCAGTGTGTGTGTATATATATTTATTTTCTTATGCTATTGGAAACAACTGTAAGGTTACTGTGTACTTTGTTAGAAATAATATATTAATCCTAATGTGTTTTTATTTAGTGGTTTGTTTGATTCCTCTATACATCAGATTGCCTCCCAGAACAGTGTTGAGCTGGTAGAGGACCCTAAAGCTGCAGCTGTGGAGGAGATCGCAGCCAAGCTGGGCCTGCGCAAGGTTAGACCACACCACTAGCTGATACTATGGACAATATCCTGTCCCTGATCCAGATTCTGAACCTGCCTAGGTCCATATCATCTCTAAACTATTGTGCTATTATTATTATTATTATTATTATTATTATTATTATTATTATTATTCCAAATGCATCCAGCTGACCTGGTGCCACATTTTGTATTTTGATGTCACAACAAATCACAGTATTGGAGGGGTAGTATCCTTTTCCACGTACCACCCTTCATCTGGGTCGGACCCCCGTCACTCAGGGGGATCAGGTTTAGGAGAACATCTGGGTTCAAGCCCAGGAGTCTGTAGACCGAACAGACAGCAGCTCCTCTCCAGTCTGACTGGCCAATCATTATAGACCACTGGGGCCGTGAGGCACTAATCAATGTGGGGGCGTTCCTTAGATTCCTCAATCTTTACAGGATAGTGGCTTTAAACAGCTTCCATATGCTCCCAGGCCATGGTGTATGTAATGTGTAGAAAATGTACGCAACCATTTTAAGAAAGAAAAACCCAATCAGTGTTGCTGCTGTTGTCCATATGTGTCTAATAGTTGTTGTCCACAACAGTTTGCTTGTTATGAATATAGGTTACTCCACAAAAGTTTCACAATATATATTAATATTCAAAGTATCATATATTCTTATATGAGCTGTGGTGAGCTTCACTTTACTGATCATAGTTTTCCTATGTGGTCTGTACTGTAGGTGGGATGGATCTTCACTGACCTGCTCTCTGAGGACACCAGGATAGGCACGGTCAAATACACCAGGAACAAGGACTCGTACTTCCTTAGTGCGGAGGAGTGCATCACGGCTGGACACTTCCAGAACCAACAGTGTAACCCCTGCAGACTCTCACCCGACGGACACTTTGGATCCAAGTTTATCACTGTGGTGGCCACAGGTACACAGACCTAACTAGGCTTTCTGTGGTTCACTTCTACAACAGAATCCTACCACACCAGAAGCAGGTGTAGATGTGCCCTAGTTGTTTCTGACTCGATCACTTCAAAGCAAGTAGTTACACAGTGGACTTTGGTTTGAGGATAGTAACGCAGCACGTTGTTACAAAACTTTTGTTTGCACTGACCGACCGACTCATTTTGTGGTTGTTAATGCATACAAGTAATAAGAACACACCTCTAGCCTCCATTATCCTCCTGAGGTCCTGAAGGCTCACTTATAGCTGGGGACATGAACTTGGGTGTTCATGAGATGTGGATATTTCAGCACAACCATGGCCGTGATTCTATGAATATTATATGGCTATCCTGGGTCTGCACTATTGTATGACGGAGCAATCATGCTCACATGACATTGAGTAATGATGAGAGAGACGACCTGCTCTTGTGATATTCAAAATGTTCCTGTTTTATCAGTGAACCCATCCTTCTCTCCCTACAGGTGGTCCTGATAACCAGGTGCACTTTGAGGGTTACCAGGTGTCTAACCAGTGCATGGCCCTGGTCAGAGATGAGTGTCTACTGCCCTGCCGAGACGCCCCGGAGCTGGGCTACGCTAAAGAGTCCAGCACGGAGCAGTACGTACCAGACGTCTTCTACAAGGTACCGTTCCTTTGTAACTTGGGAGCTGGGGATGACTGCAGCACTCGTACAACATTCTGAGACACACCAAACTCACAACAAGACAGTCACTTTTTCTCTCACCACTCAGTCATTTTTACTGCTCCAAATGTTTCCTTTAGGCTAAAATGGCAGGAACAAACGTTGAATAAAATGTTGTCCGGTAGATTGAGTTAGCCTAGAAGGAACGTTGTGTGAATAAATGGAGCTGGCTTGGACCTGAGATAAACCTAAAGGATCACTGCTTTATAGAAGTAAGGAAACAGTGACATCACAATGCAGCGGTCTGTGCATGCTACAAGACACCTTCCAATAATGTGAGAATGACAGAATGAATGCAACCCAAAGTTCTTATTCGCTCTGCCAAGGGCATAAACACCATCATCCTCTCTCTGCCTAGGGCATAAACACCTCCATCATCCTCTCTCTGCCTTGGGCATAAACACCTCCATCATCCTCTCTCTGCCTTGGGAATAAACACCATCATCCTCTCTCTGCCTTGGGCATAAACACCATCATCCTCTCTCTGCCTAGGGCATAAACACCTCCATCATCCTCTCTCTGCCAAGGGCATAAGCACCTCCATCATCCTCTCTCTGCCTTGGGCATAAACACCTCCATCATCCTCTCTCTGCCTAGGGCATAAACACCTCCATCATCCTCTCTCTGCCAAGGGCATAAACACCTCCATCATCCTCTCTCTGCCAAGGGCATAAACACCTCCATCATCCTCTCTCTGCCTTGGGAATAAACACCTCCATCATCCTCTCTCTGCCTTGGGCATAAGCACCTCCATCATCCTCTCTCTGCCTTGGGCATAAACACCTCCATCATCCTCTCTCTGCCTAGGGCATAAACACCTCCATCATCCTCTCTCTGCCTAGGGCATAAACACCTCCATCATCCTCTCTCTGCCTAGGGCATAAACACCTCCATCATCCTCTCTCTGCCTTGGGCATAAACACCTCCATCATCCTCTCTCTGCCTTGGTCATAAACACCATCATCCTCTCTCTGCCTTGGGCATAAACACTTCCATAGTTTAGACATGATCCTCTCAGTATTACATCATTGTCTGCAGAAAATGACAGAAGTAGAGGCGAAGTTGTCAGTTCTCTTAGTTGTCAGTTCTCCTACTGCTGTCACATGTTGTCACTTCCTGTTGAGTGCGGAACGAGGGAGAGCTCGGTTTGTTGTTTTGGAATGTTTTTAAAGTCTCTGGAAAAGTGTTCGGTTAAAGAAGTTTGGTTACTAGCTAGCTACCTTTTTTGAGTTTGGATCTCGCGACGTGGTTGGCATCAGTTGCTGGGACCGCTGCTCTCTGTCCAGGGATCCCGCTGACCAAGGGTCAGATGAGCTGCTTGGAGTAGCAGGTATCCTAGCTACCACTGTTAGCTGCCTATCAAGCTAACGGGGTTTCCTTGAGGGCTTGAACGCAGCTCTCGACGTGGTTAGCCCTTGTGGCTGCGACCGCGGGTTGTCCCAGCCTTAAAGACCAAAGCCGGTGGGAGTACCGTTGAGGACAGCGGTTTGTCTCGGTCACTGGTGAAGGATATTTTTAAGAACAAAAATAGTTCTATAAGCTGTTGTTACAACAAGAAAATTGTTTCAAGTGTTGTCGTCCAAATTGACGACCTGACACAGAGGTTCAGGACCTGAAGAACAGTTTGCAGTTCTCCCAGGGTCAGCTCGATGAGTTTAAACAGGAGGGACAGCAAGATGACAGCACTCTGGAAGTCATTTAGAGAGGACATCAGTTCTGTATGTGAATCCATGATAACAATGTCGGAGAAATCGGATAACCTTTAGGGACAATGAAGGCAGAACAATATTGTTGTGGACGCAATTGCAGAATCTCCACATGAGACCTGGACGGAGTCTGAGGACAAAGTGAGGGAAATGATCTTGGAGAAACTGAAGATGGACCACAGGAAGATTGAGGTGGAGCGCGTCCACAGGACTGGAAAACCCACCACCGGCATAGGTTACAGGCCCAGGCCAATAGTGGTCAAGTTCCTGAGGTTCAAGGACAAGGTAGCTGTTCTGGAAAGCGCCACCAACTTGAGAGGAAATTACATCTTTCTCAACAAGGACTATCCTGAAAATGTGCGCCAGAAGAGAAAATAACTTATCCCGACCATGAACGCTGCCAGAGCGCTTGGGGACATTGCTTACATCCTCTATGTCAGGCTCATTGTCCACCCTCCCTCCCAAAAACCTGGAAGGGATGAGAGCCAAGCCTATGGGTTTGTGGCTTCAACCCCGCAGCACACACACTTGCACACCCACCAACTGATTAATGGACTGCTGATTTTATTTTTATTTTTTATCTTGCTTTGTTTGTTATTTTCCATATTATGTCTATCTCTGAGAGGCTACCTAGGAATGGGCTGAAAATAGCCCAAATTAATATATGTAGGTTCATGAAATCAGATTACATTAGCCATTTCTGAGACTCACTTAGATAATTCATTTTTATACAGCAGTAGCAATACAAGGATAAAACATGTATAAAAGAGACAGGAATGCTTATGGGGAGGTGTTGCTATATATCCTATACAAAAATATAAACGCAACAATTTCAATGATTTTACTGAGTTACTGTTCATATTAGGAAATCAGTCAATTGAAATAAATTCATGAGGCCCTAATTTATGGATTTCACATGACTGGGCAGGGTTGCAGCCATGGGAGGGCATAGGGCCACCCACTGGGCAGCCAGGCCCAGCCAATCAGAATTAATTTTCCCCCACAAAAGGGCTTTATTACAGACAGAAATACTCCTCAGTTTCATCAGCTGCTGGGTGGCTGGTCTCATACCATCCTGCAGGTGAAGAAGCCGGATGTGGAGGTCCTGGGCTGGCGTGGTTACACATGGTCTGCCGTTGAGGCCGGTTGGACGTACTGCCAAATTCTCTAAAACAACGGAGGCTGCTTATGGTAGAGAAATAAACTTTAAATTATCTGACAACAGCTCTAGTGGACATTCTTGCAGTCAGCATGCCAATTGCACGCTCCCTCAACTTGAGACATCTGTGGCATTGTGTTGTGTGAGACAACTGCACATTTTAGTTGCCTTTTATTGTCCCCAGCACAAGGTGCACCTGTGTAATGATCATGCTGTTTAATTAATCAGCTTCTTGATATGCCACACCTGTTAGGTGGATGGATTATCGTGGCAAAGGTGAAATGCTCACTAACAGGGATGGAACCCAATTTGTGCACAATTTTAGCGAAATAATATTTTTTTGAGTATGGAAAACTTCCATGGAAACATGGGACCAACACCTTACATGTTGCGTTTTTATTTTTTTGTTCAGTGTATATTCAGAGCCATATCCCTGTAATGCTTAAAGATCTCATGTCAAGTGTTACTGAAGTGCTGTGGTTGCAGGTTCACCTGCCTCATCTAAAGCCTATTATTTTGGTGTTGTTATAGGCCACCAAGTGCTGACAGTCAGTATCTAAATAATGTGTGTGAAATGCTTGATAGTGTATGTGATGTAAACAGAGGTCTACTTTCTTGGTGACCTGAAATGGATTGGTTTTCATCAAACTGTCAAGAGGAAGCTTCTCACTAACCAGTGCCTGTAATCTGGTTCAGGTTATTAATCGACCTACCAGGGTGTTTAGAAACACTGAAGGAACACGATCATCCACATGTATTGATCACATTTTTACTGATACTGTAGAACCTTGTTCTGAAGCTGGATTCGTACCTATTAGATGCAGTGATATATCTAGGGGAGCCAAAGTTCCAAAAGCTGTGCCTAAAAAGGTGTATATAAGCGATCATACAAAAGATTTTGCTCTTATGTGGATGTTAGAAATATTTGTTAGTCTGTGATTTCATAAAGAGTTTCCAGATGCTGCACTTGATGAATTTATGAAATTGCTTCTTCCAGTAATTGATAAACATGCACCTGTTAAGAAACGGACTGTTAGATCTGTTAAATCTCTATGGTGATGATGAACAATTGGAAAAAACTGTATGGCTGAAAGAGATGGGGCAAAAGGAGTGGCCAATAGGTGGCTGCCCATCTGACTGGCTGACTTACTGCAAATTGAGAAATGATTTGACTAAACTCATCAAAAAGAAGATGAGACTGTATTATGAAGCCAATATCAATGATATAAAGAATGATGGAAAAAAACTTTGGAGTACTTTAAATTATGGGCAGAAAAACAAATTCAACTCCATCTTTCATCGAATCATCTATTCATCACAAAACCATTTGATGTTGCCAATTATTTTGATTCCTTCATTGGCGAACTAAGGCAGGAAATGCCAAGAACTATATGTAACTCTGTTTTATCGCACTGCTTTGCTTTATCTTGGCCAGGTCGCAGTTGTAAATGAGAACTTGTAACCGGCTTACCCGGTTAAATAAAGGTTAAATAAAAAATTAAATTAAATAACTAACAGTGAGCTATCGTATTCATGCATAAAAAAAACAAATAATGAATTTTGTAAAGTTAGTGTGGGAGAGGTGAAAAAATTAGTATTGATCAATAATGGGCAGCAGGTAGCCTGGTGTGTAGGGTCGTTGGGCCAGTAACCCAAAGGTTGCTGGATCGAATCCCAGAGCTGACAAGGTCAAAATCTGTCGTTCTGCCCCTGAGCAAGGCAGTTAACCAACTGTTCCCCGGGCGCCGATGATGTCGATTTTAAGGCAGCCCCCCGCACCTCTGATTCAAAAGGGTTGGGTTACATGCGGAAGACACATTTCAGTTGAATGCATTCAGTTGTACAACTGACTAGATATCTCCTTTCCTAATTACAAATCTGGAATTGACAACTTAGATGGAATTCTCCTGAGGATGGTAGCTGACTATGGCCTCTCCTATCTGGCATATCTTTAATCTGAGTCTAGAGGAAGGTGTTAGTCTTCAGGCCTGGAGGGAAGCCAAAGTCATTCCGCTACCCAAGAGTGGTAAAGCGGCCTTTACTGGTTCTAACAGTATACCCATCAGCTTGCTGCCAGCTCTTAGGAAACTGTTGGAAAAAAATTGTTTGACCAAATACTATGCTATTTCTCTATAAACAAACTGACAACAGACTTTCTGCATGCTTATAGAGAAGCACTCATGTGCACTGACTCAAATGACTGATTGGTTGAAAGAAATTGACATTAAGAAGTTTGTGGGAGCTGTGCTGTTAGATTTCAGTGCAGCCTTCGATAATATTGATCATAACCTGTTGTTGAAAACTAATGTGTTATGGCTTTTCAACCTCTGCCATATTGTGGCTTCAGAGCTATCTTTCTAATAGAAGTCATAGGGTTTTATTTAATGGAAGCTTCTCTAATGTCAAACAAGTAGGGTGTGGTGTACCGCAGGGCAGCTCTCTAGGCCCTCTTTTCTATTTTTACCAATAACAACCAACATCCCACTGGTATTAAACAAAGCCTGTGTGTCCATGTATGCTGATGATTCAACCATATACGTTTTAGCAACCACAGCTAATGAAGTCACTGAAACCCTTAAGAGTTGCAGTCAGTTTTGCAATAGGTGGCCAGTAATAAACTGGTCCTGAACATCTCTAAAACTAAGAGCATTGTATTTGGTACAAATCATTCCCTAAGCTCTAGACCTCAGCTGAATCTGGTAATGAATGGTGTGGCTGTTGAACAAGTTGAGGAGAATACATTACTTGGTGTTACCTTAGATTGTAAACTGTCATGGTCAAAACATATATAGATTCAATGGTGAAGAGATACTCTGATTTTTTTGACACCACACTCCAAAAAGCTAGTCCTGCAGGTTCTAGTTTTGTCTTGTCTTGATTATTGTCGAGTCATGTGGTCAAGTGCTGCTAAGAAATACTAAGTTAAGCTGCAGCTGGCCCAGAACAGAGCGCCTTGTCTTGCTCTTCATTCTAATCAGAGGGCTAATATAAATACTATGCATGCCAGTCCTTCTTGGCTAAGAGTTGAGGAGAGACTGACTGTATCACTTCTTTTTATGAGAAACATTGTGTTAAATTCAAAATGGCTTGCATAGTCAACTTACACACAGCTCTGACACACACACACTTACCCCACCAGACATGCCACCAGGGGTCTTTTCACAGTCCTCAAAACCAGAACAAATTCAAGAAAGCAGACAGTATTATATAGAGCCATGGAACTCCCTTCCATCTCATATTGCTCAAATGAACAGCAGACCTTGTTGAAAAAAAAAAAACAGGTAACGCCACGCCTCACGGCGCAACGCCTCTCCCCTATTTGACCTAGATATTTTGTGTATGTATTGATATGTGCCGTTGTATGTAGTTCTGTCCTTGTCTATTAATGTTCTGTATTATGTCATGTTTTGTGTGGACCCCAGAAAGAGTAGCTGCTGCTTTCGCAACAGCAAATGGGGATCCTGATTTTAAAATACCAAATACCTATTGGACAGCTACAGCTGTCGTATTTATCTCCATTGATTGGCATTTTTCTTCATCCCCTCAACAGGACAAAGATAAATTTGGCAATGACATCACATATTTAGCCCGGCCTCTTCCTGTGGAGTACCTTATCATAGATGTAAGTATGAACGAATGTGGGTGTGGCCTTTTTTATGCAGGTTAAAGAAGGGAATCGACCAATGACATGTTGAGTAGAGGTAGGGCAGGTTTTACAGTTTAGGATGCATAGTAGGGCCAGTCAACTGAACTAAGCTTCTGTAAGTTAATAGTTCTCCATGCCTTCCAAGTAGCAAGTGTAGACACATTTCTAGTTTTCTGAAAGTTCTGTTGCTATGTGTGTTTATGAACCATTTTTAAATGGTAAAACTGAAGCTTTGCCCGATGATGTAAGGATGTCTTCCTCTTTCCACAATAATCTTGTAAAAATATTGGCAGCTCCATGCCATACAGAAAGATCGAAATCACCATTTTACGTTTACATTTTAGTCATTTAGCAGACGCTCTTATCCAGAGCGACTTACAGTTAGTGAGTGCATACATTTTCATACTGGCCCCCCCGTGGGAAACGAACCCACAACCCTGTCGTTGCAAGCGCCATGCTCTACCAACTGAGCTAGGGGATCTTCCAGTCAGTTAACTATTCTCTAACTAGCAGGCTGCGCAATGGGATCCATTTAAGATACTCTTTGAAGGGCTAGGGTTTCAGATCTTTCTGAAAATGGGCAGGGACTCTGCTGTCCTAGCTTCAGGGGGAAGCTGGTTCCACCATTGCGGTGCCAGGACAGAGAAGAGCTTTGACTGGGCTCAGCAGGAGGTGGGGACGGCCAGGAGACCAGAGGTAGCAGAACGGAGTGCCTGGGTTGGGGGTGTAGGGTTTGAGCATAGCCTGAAGGTAGGGAGGGGCACTTCCACATATCTCCCGTAGGGGTCAGAGGGCCAGGAGACCAGAGGTGGCAGAACGGAGTGCCTGGGTTGGGGTGTAGGGTTTGAGCATAGCCTGAAGGTAGGGAGGGGCACTTCCTCTTACTACTCCATAGGGAAGCACCATGTTCTTGTAGTCGATGCGAGCTTCGACTGGAAGCCAGTGGAGTGTGCAGAGGAGCGGGGTGACATGGGAGAACTTGGGAAGGTTCCAGTCAGTTAACTGTTCTACTTCCTCCTTTCCATCTCCATCCAGATAACCACCACCTTCCCCAAGGACCCCCAGTACACCTTCAGCTCCACACCACGCTTTCCCATAGAGAACAGAGACATCCTGGGAGAGACACAGGTACACATTGACTCACACACACACACACAAACACGATAACAACTAAAATGGTTGTTCTGATGTTTGGTATTTTGTTTCCTTCAGTGGCCAAAGAATGACCTATAGTTTGTCGGAAGTTTACTTACACCTTAGCCAAATACATTTAAACTCAGTTTTTCACAATTCCTGACATTTCATCCTAGTAAGAATTCCCTATTTTAGGTCAGTTAGGAACACCACTTTATTTTAAGAATGTGAAATGTCAGAATAATAGTAGAGGGAATGATTTATTTCAGCTTTTATTTATTTCATCACACTCCCAGTCGATCAGAAGTTTACATACATTCAATTAGTATTTGGTAGCATTGCCTTTAAATTGTTTAACTTGGGTCAAACGTTTCGGGTAGCCTTCCACAAGCGTCCCACAATAAGTTGGGTGAATTTTGGCCCGTTCCTCCTGACAGAACTGGTGTAACTGAGTCAGGTTTGTAGGCCTCCTTGCTCGAACACGCTTTTTCAGTTCTGCCCACAAACGTTCTATAGGATTGAGGTCAGGGCTTTGTGATGGCCACTCCAATACCTTGACTTTGTTGTCCTTAAGCCATTTTGCCACAACTTTGGAAGTATGCTTGGGGTCATTGTCCATTTGGAAGACCCATTTGCGACCAAGCTTTAACTTCCTGACTGATGTCTTGAGATGTTGCTTCATTATATCCACATAATTTTCCTTCCTCATGATGCCATCTATTTTGTGAAGTGCACCAGTCCCTCCTGCAGCAATGCACCCCCACAGCATGATGCTGCCACCCCCGTGCTTCACGGTTGGGATGGTGTTCTTCGGCTTGCAAGCGTCCCCCTTTTTCCTCCAAACATAACGATGGTCATTATGGCCAAACAGTTCTATTTTTGTTTAATCAGACCAGAGGACATTTCTCCTAAAAGTACGATCTTTGTCCCCATTTGCAGTTGCAAACCGTAGTCTGGATTTTTTTATGGCAGTTTTGGAGCAGTGGCTTCTTCTTTGCTGAGCGGCCTTTCAGGTTATGTCGATATAAAGACGTGTTTTACTGTGGATATAGACACTTCTGTACCTGTTTCCTCCAGCATCTTCACAAGGTCCTTTGCTGTTGTTCTGGTATTGATTTGCACCAAAGTACGTTCATCTCTAGGAGACAGAACGCGTCTCCATCCTGAACGGTATGATGGCTGCGTGGTCCCATGGTGTTTATACTTGCGTACTATTGTTTGTACAGATGAACGCGGTACCTTCAGGCGTTTGGAAGTTGCTCCCAAGGATGAACCAGACTTGTGGAGGTCTACAATTGTTTTTCAGAGGTCTTGGCTGATTTCTTTTGATTTTCCCATGATGTCAAGCAAAGAGGCACTGAGTTTGAAGGTAGGCCTTGAAATACATCCACAGATACACCTCCAATTGACTCAAATGATGTCAATTAGCCTATCAGAAGCTTCTAAAGCCATTACATAATTTTCTGGAATATTCCAAGCTGTTTAAAGGCACAGTCAACCTAGTGTATGTAAACTTCTGACCCACTGGAATTGTGATACAGTGGATTATAAGTGAAATAATCTGTCTGTAAACAATTGTTGGAAAGATTACTTGTGTCATGCACAAAGTAGATGTCCTAACCGACTTGCCAAAACAACAGTTTGTTAACAAGAAATTTGTGGAGTGGTTGAAAAACAAGTTTTAATGACTCCAACCTAAGTGTATGTAAACTTCTGACTTCAACTGTACGTAAGACTAAGTAATGTTTTTTTCTGACCTTTAACCCACTTTGGCAACAGCCATTATTTCTCTGCTATGTTTCAATCTGACCTGATCACATGACTGTCTGCCAGTGAAAAATGAAGGCTCATGTTTAGGAAGTTATTAGTCTTGATCATAATCCATGTTTTCCCCTTCCCGTGTGTGTAACAGGATTTCCACAGTTTAGCTACGTACCTGTCCCAGTGCACCTCCACTGTATTCCTGGACATGGTGTCTGACTTCCACCTGCTCCTCTTCCTGGTCACCAACGAGGTCATGCCTCTCAGAGTAAGTTCTGTACAGACACACTCACACTGTACCACACACACCCATACACTCACACACACCGTACACCACAAACACACACACACACACACACCGTACCACACAAACACACACACACCGTACCACACACGCGCTTGCACACACTCACATACAGACTTGCACACTAGGGGTTGGGCGAATTTACAATTGCGTCTATCGATGCGAGAGAACAAACAATTGCAAGATGGACTAGGAAGTTTAAACAAACCTCATATGTTTCTGCTTGACCAAAGTGTAGGCAAAGTAAATTGTGCTTTCGGAAAATCTCTCCTTGCAAACCAAACAGCCAATAATATAGGCCTTACACCAAGCTAATGTCAATAGAAGCTGCAGTAAACGTTACTCTGACAAGTTACATTTATAAACTAATATTTATTATATTGTCAAAATGTTTATTGATGTCCATGAATTGCGCAACAGGCAATCGGGCATTCACTCCCGCAGCAACCCTTTTAATAAGCGGGAACAACAAATAAATGAATGAGAAGCAGGTGTCGGAGTTTAAAACGTTTTATTTTAAAATATTTAGCAAATGTTTTCATTTATATAAAAGTCAACAACAATAAGATAGGCTAAATAATAATTACGTTTTATGACCTTTATAACACTTGAATGAACATTGGCTTAGGCAAAAAAAAAATAGTATTATCTTTAGGAGGCATTTTGCATATTGAACTGTGAAAATCCTAAATATACAATCAGATAAAACAAATGATCATTTATAACTGTTTTTATAACACTTAGAAACGAATGAACATTGGCTTATGCTAAAAACTAATAGGCCTATTAGGATGTGCCTTTTGCCTATCAAACTGTACAAATCCTAAATATAGGCCTACATGTTACAAAATTAATAAAGTAGCTTAAACCAAATGAGTACGAAAATAACCTAAAGTAGTGGGGGGGATTATATTGTCTGTTATATTGCGTTCTTCCCACCAATTGACCCCTCGGTGTGCAACGCGCACCCTCCCCCAGAGAAAATTCAATAAAATACACGATACAATCGTATATCAACAATGTTTATTAGTGTTGTCAGTATCAGAATTTTGACTTTAATACCAATACCAAGTTTAGTATCATGTTACTCGATACGGAAACAATAGTCGATACGGAGACGATACCACAGCAAAAAAAAAAAAATGTGTATTCGCTGAAGTCACAGAATAACCACTGGCCGTTATTTTCTTTAACATTGAACATATTGTTGATAACTGGTAGAAAAACTAAAATAACAAATAAAATATTGTCTATTCAATTTCGTTCAATAGTAAAACACCATATTAAATAACAGAAGAATATCTCAAATGTTCCTTATGCAAAACCATATCTGATACTCAAACACAAAATTATTTTACAATTACATCAACTGTTTTTTAAAATGTAATTTGATACAAATCAGGGTTAATTTGCTCATCTATGGCCATGATATTGGGTCAAATGACATTCATTCGACCTATGGTTCATTATTCATTACAGCTAAATAATTTAATGCATTAAATACATCAACACTTTGGAGCACATTTCTGAAGATTCTATATTGCAATAGTCTACACACCAGATAAAAACAATTGATTTTACACAGCCTACTTCGATTCCCAGAGTGCAATGCTCTGCCCAGAACTGCTGGCTGGCTAGTGACTACTGCTAGCAAGCCTAGATGAACTCAACGTAGTCTAAATGTACTGAACAAAGATATAAACACAACATGCAACAATTTCAAAGATTTTACTGAGTTACAGTTCTTTTAAAGGAAATCAGTCAATTGAAATCAATTCATTACGCCGTAATCTATGGATTTCACATGAGTGGGAATAGATATATGCATCTGTTGGTCACAGA